AATGGATTGAATCTGGAGAAAAGCCTACTAGTTATTTTTTAAACTTTAGAAAAAACACATTGTTCAGATAAAATTATTCCTTTTCTAGAACTTGATGATGGATCCTTTTAATATATGATCAAAAAGATATTCTTTACAAAGACATTGTAGTTTTTATGAAAATTTATATAAAAATGTTGATATAAACTGAAGAATCTAAGATTGATATGGAATTAGAAAATTGTAATGTTACCAAGTTGTCTCAAAATGAAGCACTTGAATCTTGAAGGTCTACTTTCATATGATGAAGTTTCTTTTACATAAAAAAAACATGAAAAATGATAAAAGCCCAGGTTGTGACGGATTTACAGCAAATTTTTTTAAAAATATTTTGGAATAGAATTGGACATTTTGTTGTAAAAAGCTATAAACTTTGCTTATACTGTTAAATTCTTTTTCTAGAAATCAAAAGCTAGGAACAATAACATGCATTCCAAAAGAAAAAAAAACCAAAACAATTTTTAAAAAAATTGGAGACCAATAACTTTATTAAATGTAGTTTATAAATTAGCTTCAGGTTTCCATAGCAAAATAGACTTAAACTTGTTTTTAGATATTCTAGTTTCAAAGGATCAGACAGGATTTGTTAAAAAATAGATATATTGGTGAGAACACTCGATTATTGTATGATATTATGAAATATACTGAGGATAATGATTATACCAGGTTTAGTAATGATGATAGATTTTTGAAAAAAGCATTTGATACGTTTATCATTTACATTTAATAGAGAAATGTCTAGAACTTTTTTCAATTTGGTCCTATGTTTAAAAAATGGTATATCTTTATTTTATATAATACTGAAACTTGTTGTTATTTTAAATGGATATTTATCAAAGTTTTTTTTTCAAAAGTTAAACGAGGTTGTAGACAAGGCGATCCTATTTCACCTTATATCTTCATTTTATGTGCAGAGATTTATTTAGCAATAAAAATAAGACAATGTAAAGATGTTAAAGGTATAAATATAGATGGGGGAAGAATATAAAATTACACAATTTGCTGATGATACTTCACTTTTGCTAGATGGATCAGAAAATTCCCCTTAATACTGTTTTAAAGTTAAATTAAACACGTTTTCAGAAATTTCAGGATTTGAAAGTAAATTTTGATAAAAACTAAAGTTATTTGGATAGGCTCTCTTAAATACAGTACAAGATCTATTAAGACAAAATGGAAACTGACATGGGTGATACACAGTTTTAAATTGTTAGGTTGATATTTGATGTTGATTTAGAAAAAATGATAGAGTTAAATTTTAATGAAAAAACTTCAAAAAAGTTAAAAATAGTATAGGATACTGGAAAAAAAAGAATGTTAACACCTATAGGAAAAAATTACTGTTGTTAAGTCATTACTCCTTCCTTTATTCACTCATTGCTTTACAAGTTTACCAACACCTAATTCAGCATTTTTGAAAACACTTAATGACTTATTTTATAAATTTATATGGGAAGGTAAAGCAAAGATAAAGCAATCAGTAGTTATTAAAACATATCAGGAAGGTGGTCTAAATATGATTGATATTGATAGTTATATACATTCTGTAAAAGAAAAATGGTTTAAAAGATATGTTAGTAATAGTAACAGTAAATGTTATAAGCTAGTGATGGCTTTATTCAATATTTGATAAAGTGTTTAGCACAGGTAAATTGTTTTGTAAATTGACAATTGATAAAATTTTAAAAATGCTTTTTTGGATAGATGTTTTTAAAAGCTTATATGATTTTTACAGAATAAAAACTTTGTATAGACAGTTTAGAAACAAGTGTTACAAATGCCATTGTTTTACAATCATAACTTGTTAGCAGGAAATAGATACTTTTATATCAAAATTTTTTTATGAAAAAGGAATCAGATTTGTTAATGATATTATTAATCCCCAAGGCGATTTGTGTAGATTTAACTTACTTAGAGCAGGTGACACAAAAACAAGTAAATTTTTTACAATATTCATAGTTTTTTGAAAAAAGCAATATTTATTATATACACAAAAGCTTAACATTCTATTTGTAAAAGATTTTATTAATGTTCAATACCCTATTATGAGTTGTTATATAAAACCTATTTTAATTACACAAAATATCAAAAAGAAATATGTTTATGATATTCTAGTTAAAAATCAAGATTGTACAACATGTCAAGAAAAAAATGGAACTCATTTTTTTACAAATTTTTTGATATAAATTGGAATTTTAATATATAGTTATGTATTTAAATGTACCAAAAGATTCCTATATTCAGTGGTTTCAGAAAGAATAATTTCATAGAACTTTAGCAACAAACTCACTTTTATTCAATTTGATAAAATTGTCAATAGTTAAAATGTTTGTACTTTTTTTTGCAATTGCAAAAACAGGATGAAACTCTGTTTGCATTTTATTTTTGGGAATGTCCAAAAATTCAATTGTGTATTTCAATATCTTGAAAAAGACCAAGATAGATAATTTTGGATGAATAATTTATAATTGTAAATCATTTATTTTAGGTTCTGACAGTTAATGATTTTAAAATATAATATTGGTTTTTAGAAGTTGAAAAGATATATTATATTTTGTCAAGAGAGAAGAAATCGTGTTACCTACAATACCTGGTTTTTTAGAAATAGTTCTTAAATTGTGCGCGTTTGGAATATTTTTACAAAAATACCAAAATTTGGAGACCAAACATGTAAATGAAAAGATTGGCAAATTGTAGAACTTTAATAAAACTTAATTAGGCTACAACTAAATCAATTTTACCCCAAGACCAAATTATTCTTTGTTTTGTTTTGAAAGCTGTTGCCAAATAAATACCATTATCATACATAATTTGTTAATAACATATTATATTTGAAAGATTGATTGAATGTTTTGAATTATAATGTATGATTATTATACATTATATTAAAAAAATATAATTATAGATTGATGATTTAAAATATTTATGGTACTTATATCATGTAAGGTATCAGAGGGATGACCCCCGGACCCTCTCATAAACCTATTACGGGGTTAAAAATAAAACGGGGTTTACCAGTTGGGGGCCTAAAAAAAAAAAAAAAAAGGGTTTTTGACAGAAATTATTGGGTCCCTTTTTTGACTTTAGAAAGTGTAATTTAGCTTGGTTAAGTTTTTTTTGTACCCAAAAACCCTCAACCCTTATTTATTTCACAAAAAAACCATTGGAGGTTATTGCTTTTTGAAAACTGACCATTACTTGTTTACCATCACGACTTCATCAACAGACAAAGAGGGACATAACTCTGTCAAGGTTTTTTGACCCAGGAATTATGCCCCTTTTTTGACTTAGAAAATACATTGAAATTATTGGGTTAAAATACCCACCTTATTGCCTTAAAACCCTTTGAGATATTGCTTTTTGGAAACTTTTAATGCTATTTCAACATTCATATTACCCCCCATCTCGTACGCAAGAGCTAAGGTAACTTTGTCCAAGGATTTGTTTTTTAAAAATTAAGGCCTTTTTATCGACTTTTAGAATCTTGGTTTTTTTTAAGTTTTTTAGTAACCCCAAAGTCCACCTTTTGACTGAACTGTTCTGAAGAATATTAAATTTGAAAGTCTGGAATACTTGTTTTTACAATTTCATGCATCCCAACCATGTCCAGCAGAAGAATGTAATTCTTGTCAAAGATTTTTTTTATTTGAATATGGGGCCCCTTTAATCCTGTCTAATGTTTTTGTTTTATTAGGCAAGCACTTAAAAAAACTTAAAAAATCTAAAAAAATTTCATTCCTATCCACTTGTTTCAACTTTACCATAAATTATTCATAATTATAGAACATTTGCTGTAATATTCCAAGGGGTATCCCAAACCAAACCTAGTTATTTTTTCTCCCTTTTTTGTAACCCTTGAAAATTTAAAATTCCAGTAGTTAGGTATAAATTACTATTTTAAATTTATTTTAAGGCTCAAACTCAAGTTTTTTTTTTCTTTTCTTAACCAGCCCTCTTTTGACTTAAACATTTTCCAAACTTCTGCTGCAAAGTGTTCAAGGGTATCACACAATTCAGTAAAATAATTTCTTCACTAAATATTTCTTAATGGCTCATGGCCCCAATTTGTTTCCCACTTTAAAAAAAATTACAGAGAGGATTTTTCTTGTATTGCCTATTTTACTGCAAAAAACTTTTTTTATATTGGCAAGCAATAAAAAAGCTCCACGAGCGCGCTGTTCTTTTACGGGCACCAGCTCTTGTTTCTTAAAATTCCCAGGGATGAAACCAACCTGTAAAATGTGTTAGATAAGCCCAGATAAAAGGAAGGAATTTTTTGCGTGGCAAACCAAATTTAACAGAATTATGGGCCCCTTTTTGTTGATTTTTAGTTTTCAACTTGTGGCACATTGTAGTCCCAAAAAAATAATACCCATAAGTCATAAGGATTAAAAAACAGAAACAGTGGCGTTTGTGGGGGCAATCATTGTCCTATGGACAACATTTCTAGTTTCTATTTACTTTTAATTATCCTTTATTTTTCTGAAAAAAAACTTGGCAAGGTATCAGTGAATTCCCTCTTTTTGTTATGTACCTTTAGTACAAAGGCACCCCACTTATGTTTCCTAACTGAATAATTTTCCAATGTCTTTCTACTTTTAATTAATATTTTAAAGGCACACTAAGCCTCCAGCGTTGTCCTTCTTGAAAGAAAGAGTATATTGTTTTTAAATAATGGCTCTTAGGAGTATGTTAAGAGGGCTTATTCACATAAGAAAAGAAGTGTTGAATATGAAATAATTTATCATTAATGTAGCAATTTGTATTTTCCAAACAAACAATTAAATTGATGTTACTTAAGTAATTACCAAAAAATAAGGAAGATGGTTTGGCTACATTGCCAATAAGTATTGTTTCAGAAACTGTAATTTAAAAGAAAAATCTTTTCTGAAGCACAAATGATACAATTTTAGGGGGCATATTGAGGTGTTTATTTGAAATGATTGCACCTTATATTTCAGTGATAGAGAAGTTTACAGATAATGTCCGGTTTTGTATAATCTGTAATTACCTGTCAAAGATTATACCAGCGTTACAATCTAGATGTACAAGGTTCCGGTTTGCTCCTCTGTCTACCGAACAGATGGTACCGAGGCTCGAACATGTTATCAGAGCTGAAGGGTATGTTGTTTTCATATTTTATTCATGCTATTTGTTATATTCAGGGGAGGCAAAATCAACTGTCCATATTACCCATATTGTCCCACAGCCTGTACATATAAGTAGAGAAATGCTATAATTTACTATATAAATATCATGCAGCCACCTTAAAAAATGCTTCAAATAAAAACAGACAAGTCAAAAGCAGAATTTGGCAGCCCTGTTAATATGCTTATATGAATGATTGATTTGAATATAAACTATTGAAAGGGTCGTCCATGGTTGAGTGGTTAGGGTCCTTGACTTAAAACCACTTGCTCCTCAGAGCTGTGGGTTTGAACCCTGACAGGGACTTTGGATTCATTAATGCAGGGAAGCTATCCAGCTAGCGTATGGAATGTTGTTGGTTAATGTAAACAAAGATGAATATTTCACAATATTAAAAATTATATGTAGCTCTGCTCAAAGGTTATATGACCAATAGTGAGCTGTTCACCATTTGGTTTTTCACCTGTCTCTGAAAGGTGGTGATATAACTGTACTCTTTTTCAGGCATCGAAAAATATTTTCATAGTCACTTGTCTTGCAGGATGAGTAGCTTCTAAATCCAATATGCAGGCAATATTTTTCTACTAGTCCTGCATCAAGTTCTCTCAAATTCTGCTTGTAATTATTAGCGAATGGGTGGAATTTTCGATCACTGCTGTCTCTGAAACAAGGTGATATATCTGTACTTGTAATCTGTTTTTGTCTGTTTGTAGAGTAAATATATCACCGGATGGAATGCAAGCTGTGGTTACACTGGCCAACGGTGATATGAGGAAATCTCTAAATATATTACAGGTATTACATGATATAGTTCTTTACCCTCAAAGACTAATGTTACTGTATTTAAACTTAACCTTGTTGGCGGTAACATACATGTATATAAAGCTAGTTGGTCACCCGTCTTTGTATTTCAGAGATTTTTCATTTAATACCAGGACTGCTTAATGCATAACAAAGGTCATCATTCACTAGTTAAGCAGGGAAACTTGTCAAATGTTTTTTACAGTGTTTTTCATAAAGTTATATTTTTATGACAGATTTTATGCCATTTATCCTGTCAGGAACCTTTATGATGAATATATAAAACAGCAAACACCATTTCATAAGAAAGAAAAAAGGAAATTTCTTTATAAATTAGCTGTGTTTATATAATAAAGATTATATAAACATCACGATAATCCACTGAAAGGCAGGGCTATCCATGACCTAGTGGTTAAGGTTGTTGACTTCAAACTCCTTGCCCCTCACACCTGTGGGTTAGAGTTCCAACAGGAACTTTGAATTCTTTCATGTCAGGAAGCCATACAGCTAGCTGATAGAATGTCAGTGGTTCCATTTGACCTATACTCTGTTTGTGTGACATAAAACCCCACCAAAAAAAATTGATGAAAGACGATGCTACAAACATGCCAAATTAAAAATATACACATATTAAGAGTATATTTTTCAGAGTTGTTTCATGGCATATGATGAGATCAGTGAAGATAGTGTGTATATGTGTGTAGGACATCCTCTACGGAAAGACATTGAAAATATAATGTACTGGATATTGAATGAAAACTTTACCACTGCTTATAACAGTATCCTTTTCTTTTATTTGATAAAATTGAGGCTATCGTTGTGAAAATAAAATTGAGGCTGTTTTTTTTTTTGTTTTGTTTTTTTGAAAATCACACTTTGTGAAAAAACAATTGAGGCTTCCATTGTTAAAGTAAAATTAAGGTTCCCGTTGTTATAAAATTGAGGCTCACCTTGTGAAAATAAAATTGGGGCTGCATGTGTGAATTTACAAAAATAATGTACATGTACTTTGTAGTCAATTCCTGTCACATCCCTAGATACAAATCCCGCTCCAAATTGTTTAGATTATACTGTATACAGTCATTCGAAGAAAAAAACAATGAAATAGTGAGGTCTGAGAAATAGGTAATACTTAATGTACTTTTAAATGCACACATGATTTTAGAATGTGCAACAGATAGACTGAAAATGAAGTCATTGGAAATTTGTACTTTTTTGCCATCATGGATATCATTTGAATAAAGGTTAAAAGTTGACACATTTCTTTAAAATTTACAATTTTTGTTTAATAATATGCATAGAGCTGTCACATATTTTTAAACATATTGACATAGCCTTCATATATTGACCTTAATAGTTTAATTAGATTTAATGAATTTAAAAACAGCAAAGGGATTGGCATTACAAGATATTTTAACAGAAGTTCATCAGTATGTTCATAAAGGTAGGTAGCTTTTGATTTATTTTTTACAATCTCCAAACATTGATAGATCAGTGGACAAAATTTTTTGGCTCTGTTTGTTTATCTGTGCATGAAAAGAAAAATATAGAAATGGGGCATCCATGGCAGAGTGGTTGAAGCAGTCGACTTCACACCACTTGCACCCTCGTCTATGTGGGTTCGGATCCCACCAGGGACTTTGAATACTATCCTGTGATGAAGCTATACAGCAAGCTTACAGAATATTGGTGGTTCTACTCAATTGCCGGTTTTGCTTGAAATAATGCTTTATGCATGCAGGGGCACTTGAGGTCTTCATCCACCAACAAAGCTGGAAAGTTGCCATATGACCTTTACTGTGTCGATGCAACGTAAAACCCCACCATGAAAAAAAAATGGAACATATCTCATAATCTGTGCATGAACAATTTTAATACAGGTTAAAACATTTGTGTCTAGTAGGACTGAAATATCAAATGTATCTTATCTTTTACTCTTGATTTTATCAAATTATGTTTAAAAAACTGCAGTAACGTAGGAAAAAAGTTTATATTGGCACAGAAATTGGTGTAGTTTTTCAGCTGTTGGTCAAACCAATATACAGGAAATGCATGTCTAGGAATAGCAAGGTTTCAAACTAATAACCCATAACTTGCTATATGTATGTAATACGTACACTATGACCAAAAACATGTATTAAAATTGGCATAAAAAAAAACAAGAAAAGCAACACATGTTCTGTTTCAAATTGCCTTTGTTGCAATTGTATTGGATTTCAATATCCAAATCCTTGAATTTAGTTACCAGCAATATAGAGTCTTGTCAGATTGGAATTATAATTGTTTATAGCATTAAAAATGGTAAATAATTCAATATTTATATTGCTATTTCTTTGTTTTCTAGTGGATTTGCCAATGCATGTTCGACTTCACCTCCTTGAGAAAATGGCTGAAGTAGAGTAAGTTAACCTTTTAAGCCTTTCTCTTGTGTTCCAAAATAGAAAAAGATTTACAAAAATAAAACAGCTCATGAAAATGAAGTTGATTGATTTAAGAAGTAGTTTTTAACTGATTGCCCTTTTCATGTAAATATTAATGATAACCTTGTGAATACATGTATTTTGATATTGTGCAAACAAATATTTCTAAAGACAATTTATGGTTCTTGAAGCATATTCAAGCTTGTTTCAAAACATTAGCACAGTGAATGAATATTTCCATAGAAAACCTTTATTAAGACACTGTCTTGAATGGACATTTCAGTTTTTCCTGTGTCTTTAAAATGTACATAAGTGACTGGCTTCTTTCGTATGTGAAAGCCATCCGAACTAATTGGTTTAATACCTAAGTTATAGCGAAAGGGATACAAAGTTTTCCCCTCACCAGTATAGCTGGAAATATGTAATGTTACTAAAGTGATGGTATGACATAAAATTTGAACAAATAGTGTTTGGCATAATACAGCATATAAGATTTCATTATTTTCAGATACAGGCTGTCATCAGGAACAAATGAGAAGATACAGTTAAGCTCACTAATAGCAGCATTTCAAGTAACTCGAGATATGATCGTGGAGGAAGCCAAATGATCTGTGAACAATGTTTGATATTTTAAAATGCCTGTGAAGATTTGAAATATTTGACTTGCCTGTACCATCAGGATACTGTAGGGTTAGGTTCTACATGCATAAAGTGTGACCAGACTCTATACTGTTAGCTGATTAATTGTAACTTTTTGAATGTTACTGAAATTACATATAGGGTAATATATATAGGTACTGCTGTACTTAAATATTTTCATAAATGTGTATTAACCCTTTCACTGCCATAGGGATGGCTAATGCTGTCCCTGTTATTTTTGGCACATTTGCCATATGGACGGCTTTAGCCGTTTCTATAATAATAATAGTAATAATAATAAATTAATAATAATAATAATAAATATAAAGAAATTATACCCATCTACGATTATTATTATTATCATACTCACAGATTTGGAAACATATATAATTATTATAATACTAATAACAAATAATAATAATTATATCAATTAATAATATAGTAATTTCTTAGAAAACCTTTGGCAAATAGGTCATCAATAAAACAATAACCCTCTGGCAGCGAAAGGGTTAATGAAAAGGAACATAGTTTCACTAACATACAGTATTGCCTGTATTTATTGTTTGCATCTTTAAAGTATAGGATTTGATAGAAAAAATAACATGAAGGTTAATCTGCAAATGTTGTTAAGTGACGCTACTTACACAGAAAAGCATATATTTGGATAACATTGATGTTTGCGGCCCACAGGGAGCTTGATTCCTGTGTGCAGTATTTTATTGACAAAGTAATGTTCCAAAATGCTGACGGGGCAAGTTATTTTTACAAATTTAGAGATCTGATAGTTACTTTTTGTATCAACATTAAAATCTTACTGATTTCCACTAAAAATATATAGCTTCAATTTTACACAGACAAATACAATTCACATTGTGGAGTAAGGTAAAGAAACTTGGAAAAAAAATGAAATACATTTATTTACTATATAATTTATGAAATATGGAACTATTATATCAAAAATTATATAGATGCTGTCACAGTTATGTTTTTATGTCAATCTCTATTGAAGGGTGGCATATTAAAATCATAACCCTGTCTGTTTGTGTGTCCCCCACTTACACAACGTTCATGTCATGCATCAAAGGTTTTTAAGATAACTTGGATATTAAATTCATTGCATGGAGGAAAAATAAAGTATAACAAAACTTGTTTTTACGAGTTTTTATTTCTATCTAAATACAATATATCGTGTATATATATTTGTAATACAAATATGTTTGTCGACAACATGTATTTACAACATAATACACATGTACAAATGTATATATATATTTGACAATATCAGAAGTAAAATATGCTATAAAGTGTGACAATATGGTAACAAATTGTGCTATATAGTTTACAATAAGTAATTTACTGTATAACTTTTGGCAGCAATAAGTTTGTGTAATACTTAATTATTAAATATTGTAAAAAAACGGTGAAATATTAATATATAGCCAATTTGGAAAACAAAGTATTTTAGACTATGTTCACAAAAACTTATTAACAATAGAACCAACAGAAATAAATAAACTAGAATTTGATATAGAAACCTACCAGGAAAATGTTAAATTTGTAAAGTTCACACAATATTCAAGTAATGTTTTATTCAAACCAGGATGATTGCAATGGAACTGGTAAAAAAAATCAAATTTTTTATTTGAATAAGATATTTTTTTTACCATATTTAATAGTTGGTTACAGTTTTTTTCAGAAAATATAACTGACATAAAGTTTGGTTAGCTATTTAACAATTTTTTGTGCAAAATATTTATTTTGGCTTGTACAGTTTAAGACCAATATTGGACTCTCCTAGCAGCTTGTCCAATATAGTTTCCCAAGCTTTGGACAGTCCAATATATCCTGTATTGTACAAATTAATATTAAAGCGTATAAATATACCCAATGTGATAATAACTAACCACTATTTGTAATAATAAAAGTTATCACTTGAACTTTCAGAAAAATGAGGTATAAGGTACAGGGCTTGAAAACAATTTTATCTCGTTTTCTTATTTATTACCCTGGAATTCAATTTACCCAATAATTTATTGTACTTTACCCTTGCTCAGTGATGAATATGTATCTACATTGATTAACTATGGACAACTTTTCATAACTGACCATTTTTCGGTCAGAGTAAAATAACCATGCACAATGATATTTTATGTACATTTTTGTATATTCATTTCATGGACAAAGTAAACCCAAAAAGTGAATTTTATCTTTAATCATGTAATGACTTTGGTCTAAAAGAAAGAAAAAATGTTCAGCTTCATTTTGTTCGTAATTCAGAAGTTTTGTGTATCTCTAACACCTTGCCCAGTCATTATGACTTTTAAGACTGGTCTATAACAGTACATATTGACCACATTGAAAGTCTATAAATTATATTAATGCATCACTGTCAAAGCTTTACAAAACCTAAATACAAATGAGTAGAAAAAACAACACATTTTAATATGTAATAAGTAAATAATGGACACCTTAGATATAGGTTTATATATGTACATAACTTTAAAAATAGTAACAATAACAACTTGTATACAACCATAGACAACAATATACTATAATATATATACATGAAGAACGTTTTCTTTAAGCATACACATTTTGCCAGAAGTGTATTCTTATAAAGTCTGGATTCATGTTTACTTTAAATAACAAGTTGCTTATATATTAGGAGTAAATCATATTGTAATACACTTAAAATACCAGTATAGATAGTAACGTTTCTAGTATACATGTACATCAAAGCCTAACATATGATGAGGTCCTATTTTAGAATAACAAATCATCGTCACATCTTTTATATACTTAAAGGAAACTAAACAAGTCTCTATTTTAACTCGTTAAATTGTTTTTGACTTGTTCTTTAAAGTAATAATAGATTATCAAAGTTGAATGTCTTATAGACGTAGCTTAAATTGCAATTAATTCAGTTTTTACATTTAATATCAAAGTAGATGTGATTGAGGTAACTGACATTTTATATTTGTGATGTCACATCAGTAACAATTACACAGGTAAATAACATGTGTATTTTGATTAACGAAATGTTTTAAGCGACTGATTGATCTAGTTTAATATTATAAAGCTTTCAACATGCAACTTACAATGTAAAATTACATTCTTGACCACTTTTCAAAGATTAAAAAAAGATACATTTTGAAAATATGTTAAATTTAGAGCATTTTTCATAGAAGAAAAGATGTGGATATTCATGTAAGGCACACATGTTTGATAATAAGATTATGTTTATCAAAATAATAATATTTGTAACTTTAAACCAAACTAGAAAAAATGACATACTGTTATAAGGTACAGAAATTTGTTTTCTAGAGTTGGCTTGAAATTAATCCAATTTTGGTAGAGATTGTAAAAAAGCGACTTTGTCACAATTTGTGCATAGGGCTAAATTCCTATAAACTTAACAATATTACAACATAACATATTGTATATTTATATACGTTAAATATATATTATAATGTAACAAAAAATGTATGTACAGCACATCTGGCGGGTAGCACTCTTATCACGTGACAGTACTCTAATAACATGACATCACTCTAACCACGTGACAGTACTGTAATCACGTGAATGAAATGGCTACGACAATACTCGTTGCTAATAAATGTTTGTGAATGTCCTAGTTGGTCTATGTTGACTTAAATGTTGCCTTAAATCACTAATGAACAAGTATTAAACGTTTTAGCAAGTCTACTAACTCCAAAAAGTTGAATTAGGTTAACTTGTCAACAGATACCAACAAGTTAATGTCAAATTAATATAAATCGGTGTTCCTTAAACCCCAGTCACACTAGAGCTTACGATTACTTGCGACCACAGGCGACTTGTAAAACTGACGATCATCAGCGATTGTCTGCGACCAAAACCATTTTTGCACAGATAAATTTACGTTTGCGAGTATCGTAAGACAAGTCATCATTGACAATCGTACGACAGGTCATAAGTAAACGTACGATGGTCTCAAGATTGCCTGGGATTACTTACGACTACCCGTGTCATAACATGCGATCACCTACAACTTGTCGTACGACCATCACACGATTACTAAAGACTACTTAGGATTATAAGTGACTAGTGGCAATTTGTAGACTGTCGTAAGATTATCGCACTTCCGAACGACCATCGTGCGACAGCCTTAAGACCTTATAAGATTACTAGCGACCTGTTTGATCGCAAGGAGGTTTTTGTGCAAGCTCAAAAACCTCTCTACGACTGAAATTGGTCGTGGGACCTAAATAATATAACCTGCGACTGTCAAAGATCACCGATGACCGTCGTAAGACGTTTTAAAGATTGTCCGCGACCAGAGGTCACTGTTGATCGTGAACTGGTCTTCACTGGTCGTAAGCTCTAGTGTGACTGGGGCTTTAGTTTCTTTTCGACGGATAGATCGTTTCCATTGGTCAGATATTGTTATTTTGATAAAGTTGCTGCAAAAGCTATGGCCAAATTCGAAAAAACGTATTTGAAAATATCTTCAATTTTTGACAAGATTCCTTACTGATACACAACAGTTTCCCCTGTAATTGGCAGCACTTGGGGAAAATCTAATATTTGAATATTACAAGCCGAATAATCGAAATTTCATAAGCACAAGTTTCCACCTCTTTTTCCATTTCTTTTTACTTTTATACATTTCAGATGATTTGATCTTATGCATGTTTTATGTTTTAAATATCAGTAGATTCTAGTTTAAGACAAGAACCCATTATGTAGATTATAAAATCTTCTAGATAATGTAATTTTTGAAAAAATACAACACAATTACAAAGTATATAAACACTTCAACAATATCAATTTTAATTATTGCACTTATGAATCATTGTGTATTTGAGTCAAATTTCTCAAATAAACAATAACTGTTTCCATCTTTGCACAATCTTGTAACATTGTCTACATCAATATGTTTATATTGTTCACACTTCAATATCTGTGTAAACTTTCCGTAGTTTTTGGCATGCGTTTTCATATTTTGGCATGCTGCGTTTAAATGCTTGCGGACTTCCGATTGGCTGTTGTAGCTACACGTGAACGCCTACTACGCCACCATTGACTCTGACGTCACTGTAAGCCGCACCTTCGCAGTTTGCGACGCTGTCCAAATATGGAGTCAACAGGTAGTGGAAACGCTGTGGAAAATCGAAATAAATGTTAAACACTTACTTTTGAAAACATAAAGTTTTAGTCTTTTATTTGCTCTAAAGAATCATTGAAAAGAATGATACCGAGTTGTCCTGAGAACAGCCATGGGCTTTAACAACGATTTTTAGAAGAGACACCTTTATGTACATGAACAGCTTCATGACCATTATGGGAGCTGATATTTGGCACTTTAGTTAATAATACAAATGCATCCTTTGTTATGTATAATACATTCTTGTCATACAATAACATTCACAAAACTATTTGCATGACATGATTAATATAACCTTTTTTTCCATGCAAACTGTTATATAGACTAAACCTCGTTGAGAACTTACTCCGATGTAAAGATTTATACCATGTTTCAGTTTATTTTAATGATAAGTTCAAATATGTTTACCTCAGAAATGGTGCCTTTTGTTCGTAAGAACTGGTAGATTGCAAATCCTGGTATACATAGTATACTAGATAAGGCAATACACCAACCGATGAAGTTCGCCTGCCAGGGGTACACATAGGCGTCATACTCTAGTGGAACATAGTTTACCAAACCAAATATCATGATAAACTGAAACACAATATAGAATTCATTGTAATGTTTATGTAATGTAAAGTAACAATTATGATATGTGTTTGTTTCATTTTAAGCCGACCAAACACTGATTTATTGACGTAACTATTAATCTTCTATTGGTTGGTGAAGAAGGTTGCTCATCCAACAATTATTCCTGCAACGATCGGCCATTTGTGGCAGTGTCATTGACTATGTAAAAGCTAGACGAATCGAACTCGGCTGTGGGCTTGAATATAAAAATCCTATCAAGTAGATGAACTTATGAATTCTTGAACTATTTTCTCCGATGTGTTAATGAGCTTCATACACTGTGCTAAATTGACGTCATAATAGCGTGCAAAAAACATTCTCATAAATTAACTTTATAGAAGATTAACCCGCAGTTAAGTTTCTTTCATGTTTAACCCGGAAACACTTAACCGCGTTCATTATGTTGACCAGTAAAGCGGTAATAATCACGAAAAATATTCATGTATAGCAAATACTAAATCAGTTTTATTTTAGTTTCTCATGATATATGCATAGTTCAACTGAAACTGTTATTAAAGACCCGTTTATTAAAACATAATATACTTCTTTAATACATTCAATTAGTGACCACTTATCTGAACAAGCTTGTGAAGGCTTCATAAAAATAAAGCCAGTATAATAAGTTGGTTCACTTTACAAGAGGTTAATTGCAATTCCATTGTTAATTATTTCTTTGCATTGCCGTACACATTAAAATGGCGATTATCTTGCCAGGACGCGAATAGAAAGCTTGTTATCGACGAACTAACGGCAAGTAATTAATCTTTAGTTTGTTAAGGGAAAATCTGTAATCTTTGAAGCTTTAAAGGAAATTTGAGCAGTAATAAAACATTTGCAGGTCATGACTGTATTGAATAAAATAACAGAATTGAAACCAATACAGGCAGTTAATAAAATTGTCAAAGGCAGACTTTAAGAATAGGGAAAATGCTGGACAAAGTCTGTAATAAAAATGCCCGAAATACGATCACCTACATAAACACCTCCGGAAATGTTGAAGAACGCTTGTGAAATGATTTGAGAAGAGAATAATTTTTTATAATAAGTTACATTTTTGTATTTCATCAATGACCACAAAAAATATGAGTGGACGACACCATTGCGATACGTACATGTTCATTTTCATGAATTTTGAAAACATTCACCAAAAACTTTGATAAATAAAATGATGTTTAACATGTACATAATTAAATAAATACAGTCAATAGTTCACTTCATTATTTGACAGCGTATATAGGTATATAGGTTTTATCAATTATCCAAAAGAAAAGCGTTGTTATAAACGTGCAGTATGATAAAATGTATATCTGAAGAAGTAGATGGTTGACACACAGAAATTGCTTACCAATAAAAAGATGGGTGCGAGATATTTCCAGGTGACTCTCCAGTAAATGCCGGGTCGAAATCCCACCATAGATTCAATATCATCAGAGAATCTCTCAACACCTGTTAATTAGAATTATATATGCTTGAATAACGCATTTTGTTTCTATTGTGCATGTAGAAGACTTTTTTTTTTAAATTTGGCTATATGTATTTAACAACTTTGCCGAGATGGCCTTTAAATGTCCTCATGTAAATGGCTCAGGTTTAACTTATATTTATTTCAGATATATTACCTTTCCATATATAAGCAAATAACCTTGCAGGTATTTATTATTTGGTCATCATTTTGAAACGCGAATATTATTTAACTATACGTGCATATCACAACAATTTTGCCTGCGAAATATTGGTACATTTCGCCGGGTCATTTTGTTTTGTATCACATTGTCATAATAATATAACCATTAAATATATTTTACCATACGCCCAAGAAACTGCTAATGTTTCAAAGAAAACTGCAAACAAAATGGAATATCCGGCTGCGTACTTGTCCATTAACGTCACAACATAAGCTCCGCCCTTTAATAAAAATTTACATAATAATTATTATCTAATTAAAATGACTTGATTTTGCAACTTCGTTCCTTTTTCATTCGTTAATTTACTTAAATTTACACAATATAGGTTCTTTCATGTTGTTTATGAAACCATTGCTGACTACTTTTTTTGTTTGACAAACACAGATCTTTGTAATTTATATTAACGGCAAAATGCTTTATTAAATGACGCTCGCTTTGCCTTAGTACTAGTAAATGTATGTTTCCTTTTAATGTATATTGAAATATATACTACAGACCATACCTGTGAAACAAAAGAAAGTCCTATGATGAAGTAAACCGCGAACAAAATTGCTACAAATATTTCTCTGTGCTTGCGAAGTATGGGGAACTCATCTGATAACGCAGTGATAATCGCTTCTGATCCTCCAAACTACAATGGTAAAATATTTAGATTTAATAAATGCGATATAATTATGTAAAAGGATATTCTTCATCGACTTTCAATAAATAAAACAACAAAATATGCTATAATTTATAGAGTCTCAAACTATATATCTGCTTCCTGTAAATTACAAAATTATTGTTTGAATTTTGGTAAAGGAACTTTCCAAAATACTATGTTAGCACATTTCAAGTAGGAGGGTTGTTCAAAAATAAATTAAACTGCAGCGATTGCAGCGATATGTTTTAATCATTTTCTATGATTTTGCAAGTTGTGACACGTATTCTTCACTAGTGAAGTCAAAACAACAATGTAATATATCAGAGAATTTATAAAAAAAAAAAAACATACCGAACTGTCAAGTCCAAGTGTGAGTAACATCAAAAAGAAAATGATAGCCCAAAATGTTGATCCGGGTAGAGTTGCTATAGCCATGGGGTACGCCTCAAACACCAGTCCTGGACCTTTAAAAAATTGGGAAAAGACAATATTTAATCATATGTACAACTATGTAATCAAAATAGAAGCGTCTTAATATAGTTCTAATCTTCGGATGTAATTATATGAAACGGATAAAAAAAACGCAGCACTGACGTGGAATACGTTTCTTATAAAATTTTATGTGTTACTACACAAATCATTTAAAGTGTTTGTATTACTAGACATTAAGATTTAAATTAAGGTCTTGATAAAAAATATCTTGAATGATATATGCAAGAAGATTACAAAAATGACACCTGAAATCAAAATGATCACAGTACATGGTGTTATATTGACGATGACATTTTGAGACTTTAAAAAACATTTTGTGCCTTTCTTCTATGACATATTTAAAGATCTTTTAAATTTAATCTTTCACAGTTAAAAACAAACTGTCTTATCAGCCAGTATTATACCAAAGCAGCCGGACTGTGAATTTTGAATATCATTTGAAATGTCATTTTGCATCTAAAACTCTTCAACATTTTTAAATTCAAAGGACAACTCCATTAGAAAAGTATACAGAAATAAAAAACTAAGTATATCATACCTTCTGTGGCTACAGTTTCAATGCTGACCTTGGCCCTGTCGGCCATGTAACCCAGGATCATAAAAATCACAAACCCGGAGAAGAAACTGGTGCAACAATTCACCATACTGGTTATCAACGCATCTCTGTAAATACAAAACACAAATGATGTAACTAAAGAAATTATGTTTTATTTCGTATTTCGTGAGGAAATGGTGAAATATTTCGAAAATAAAAGCGTTTTTTTTCATATTTAATAAAGAAACGGTGCAATATTTCGTATTTTGTAAATAAATGGTTTTTTATTTCGTATTTAGTAAAGAAATGTAATATTTCGTATTTTGTAAATAAATGGCGCAATATGAGATGTTGCAATTTAACTTTTCAATATTTTTTTACAGATCAAAGGTTGTGTACCAAAACTATTTTTTTACAAATCCACGAATTTTTCACTTTTTTCTTGCAATAAATTATTGATTAATTTTCGCCCATCAAAATGATTAAAGGATGTTTTGAGAAATAAAACGTTTTAAATAATAATCATTTCGATAAAAAATTCTTAATTTTTCAATACATTCCTAAAAAAATTATAATGAAACAATGATGGTATTTGAACTTAGTATAACAAATAACATTTAGCATGGTTTTGCTGTAACAATACCTGTACACGTTATTGTCTCTTTTGTTGTAACTAGCGAATGCGAGCAATACTCCAAATCCTGGCCCCAGGGAGAAGAAAACCTGTGTCCCTGCATCAATCCATACCTAAATATAAAACCATAGTAACTTTTAGTTTTTATTAATGCTAGCACTGAACATTATGATAATGATTATAAAAGTAATGCAAGTATTACGATTAAAGTACTGTCTTGGCTATCTATACTGTCTAGTTATTTTTCTTATATATAAAAAACTTTTTTATTGGAATGGCTAATGGAATAACATTAAAGTGCTCCGTAAAATGTTACCATGTTACCAGGGTGATTGTCATTTTACATATATAAGTGTTTTCATCTTCATTGAAGAAAAAAAATGCAGCAAATGCATATTTAAGCAAAATAACAAATAAATTATATTGATATGACCGATTATTATGACTTTATAGCTGTGTCCTTTAACTTTCCGGACGACTTTGTCCTATGGTGACTTTGAAGGGGATACCTCGGTTGCCGTATGGTCCGTGACTGAAACTATGCCATTTCTGTATTCAGTTACGGTAAGGGAACCATGCATAAAAATCGTGCGCGACATTCGGTGATCTGAACTATTATATTTCAAAAGATTTTTTTGCAAGGATTAAACTATTCTACAGTGTTA